GGGGGGGATCTTGAATGGCATCAGGCAAACACTTGCTGAGAAAGAAATCAGACTCATGCAAATAAAATACAATAAATTTAAGATTGACACAAAACATTTTGCTCTGTGTTTAAAATAGAGCAACCTCCCTTATTTTTTTCTCTCAACATAGAGATGCAATATAGCCAGGCAATCACCCAATCCCTGCTCCAAAGTGATGCCTGCCCAGTCTTCCAACTCACCACCTAGACATGTCGATTTCCTCTGACCATGTGATATCAGCATTTCCAGAATACAGGTAGCATTTTATTCCTCCAGAGAATACCTTGAGTGACTTGGACATTCTAGATAGGAACTCAAGGCTTCTTCACTTCAAGGTATCTTTTGCTTTTAAGTCACCACTTCAAAATAAGTGTTCTCAGTGTACACACCTTCAACCTTGGCTGGATTGGCTTGACCTACACATGGGACCCTTGTTTTTTGGAAGTTGTCCTGTAACATTTGAAAAGTATTTGAATGCTTGCTCTTCTCAAGAACTAAGCAGCATAGTGTGTGGTAAGCCAGCAATTTACACAAATACTCCCACCACGGCCTATTTCAAGCTGCCAACAGTTTAACAATTGGCTTGCAAAATTCCTAAAAATTTAACAATCAGCTCTTGCTGTGTGAGCTGGCTCCAGTGCACCAGAATCTATGCAGGTGCTTGCTGGGGTACAGCTCAGAGATGAGTGCCTGCTTGATACTGAAAACCACAAACCTCCCCTTTCATTTGACAGCTCTCAACTTATATGTAAGATATACACCAAAAAGTAGCCAGAAAGTGCAAAGAAGTTTATTAACTATGATGTGGTAAAGATATCAAGAGCTACAACGTCTGTGCACATAGCCCAACAGTGCACACCTTCTTACTAAAAAAACAAAAAACAAACAGTGAAACACAGCAGTTAACAGTCCAACAGTCCAACACTGGGGTCAAAGGAATGGAGCTGCCTCTTCTGGCAGCAAAGCTTCAAGTCCTGCAATTAAATGAAAGTCTTGGTCCACTCCCTATGGGCCCTCATACGGTTGCCCTTTGGAACCATAACTGAGTGACACAATAGAACATTCAGATTCAGGATTTGGCCTCCAGAATTTTTTTTTAAATCTTCCCTTTATTTTATTTATTATTTTTTTTTTTTGCTGAGGAAGATTCACCCTCAGCTAACATCTGTTGCCAGTCTTCCTCTTTTTGCCTGAGGAAGATTCGCCCTGAGATTACACCTGTGCCAGTCTTCGTCTGTTTTGCATGTGAGTTGCCACCACAGCATGGCCACCAACAAGTGGGGTAGGTCCACGCCCAGGAACCGAACCCAGGCCACTGAAGCGCAGAGTGCACTGAACTTACCCAATAGGCCACAAAGCCGGCACCCAGAATATTTTTAAACAGGGACATGCAACATTCCCTCTTGAAGCACAATTTGGGAGCTGCAGAGAACTAAGATTGTTCCCCAAGGAGCCAGAGGTAACAGGCCACATAGAAAACACAAAGCATTTTATAAGTTCACATTTGGTAACAGAATTAAGAGCTTAATGCACAAAACTCATAAGGTAATGTAACCACAAGTAAAGACTTCAGCAGCCAAAGAAAAATTCTGAAAGGCTTTTAACCCCTTCTGAAGCTTTCAGAATTAAATTCTCTTGCTAGACAAGGCTCGTCTCCATACAGTGTGGTAAGAACTTATGGAGGAGCAAAAAGAAAAAAGGAGAGAGAACAGCACCTAAGAAGGTATTAAACAGTAGGTTAAAAAAAAAAAAAAATACTTTATCTTCTTTCCATCATTAAAGAAGGCAGGTGTCCAAACACTGCTTTGTGCTTCTTTGAAGAAAAAAAAGCTGTAATCCAGACTTCAATATAAGGGATGCAGAAGGAAACTGATTGCAGCTTTATGACTGTGATATGACCACAAACCCATGGAGCAGAGGAAATTATCAATTTACTCTCTTACCATGAAGGACTCTAGTGTTCAGTCATTTAAAAAGGAAAGGACTAGTTCAAATTATGATCAAGGCTACAAAATAACACAACTAATTGTTCACATAGCACCGTTTACCTAAAGTGACAAACATACTACACCGGATTAATCCTCATAACATGTCTGAAAAGAAATTACAAGAAAACCTAGCCAACAACAACAAACAAACACAGAGATACAGAGATCAGATTGGTGGCTACCAGAGGGGAAGTGGGGAGGGAGGAAGGCGAAAGGGGTGACAGGGCACATGTGTGTAGTGATGGATGGTAATTAGTCTTTGGGTGGTGAACATGATGTCTACACAGAAACTGAAATATAATGATGTACACCTGAAATCCATATAATGTTATAAACCAATGTTACCTCAATTTTAAAAAAAAGGAAAAAAGATGTAAAACAAATGATCTAGGCTTCTACTTTAAGAAGTTAGAAAAAGAGGAGCAAATCAAATCCAAAGGAAACAGAAGAAAGGGAATGATTTTAAAATAAATAAAAGCAGGGTAGCTGTTGTTTAATGGGTATAGAATTTTAGATTTGCAAGATGAAAATGTTCTGGAGATCTGTTGCACAACAATGTGAGTATACTTAACACTGATGAACTGTACATTTAAAATGGTTAAGATGGTAAATTTAATGGTATGTATTTTTTACCACGATAAAAAAGTGGGGGAAAAAAACATGAAAACCTAGCCAAAAACTTGTTCCTCATTTAATGGGATGTGGCTTTAACTGGATTCTTGTAACATCATTTCTTTCTCAGAGAAAGGAAGACCCATAAAAAGTCTGCCTCACAATTATATCTTTATCTTCAAATCTCCTAGACCCCAAATTATTTACTCTTGCTCAAACTGCTTCCTTCTCTCTGGTGAGGTGTCAGAAATTGTCTCACTAGCTCAGCCCCAGACAACCACATATTTAACAAGTAGACCAAAACTGTGAGGTTTAACCACGGGAAATATAAACTGCTAATTTTGCCTTTGCCTCTTCTACTTACCTCACAGAGGTAAATCAAAAGGTCTATTAACTAACCAGACTCTAATCTATAGACTAGGACAACAAAGAGGCCAGGCCAAATCTATGAGATAGATCTAACAACCCAAATTTTTAAAAATAGATCTTGGCAAAAAATATAAAAGTGATTCTTTTATAAGCATATTACAGTGTATAATGCTATACATGGAAATCTCTTGAGCCACCTAGTGAAGACCCATGGAAAAGGGCTATCCTGTTGAAAAAAACAGAGATGAGAGGAGGGTAAAATTTTTGTCTCTTATATATGAGAAGTGAACTCTATCACAGAGGACTACACTGTCCATCCTTCCTCTGACATGTCATACATATTTCTGAATGGCTTATGGAAAATCCCATGTAAACTAAAATTTGAAATAAGTTGCTACAGGAGAATGGAGGAAGCTGATATAAGGCATCGAGAGAACAGAAGGGAGAAGTATAGGCTATGCACAACCTCACTTCCTGATCTCAAATATTATGCAAAAACAGTTTGTCAATATCTTAGTTCACTCATATTTGGTCCATTTTAGAAATCAAAAACATTTTGAAGAATAACACAGGTTAAAAGATGATTTCATTGCAAATAACTGGTAAAATAAACTATACATTCCCACCAAAAACCTTTCCAGAGTTTTTCTTGCCTCTGACTTGAAAAGTCAAGAAGGAAGCCATAAAGCAGTCAGCTGTAAGAAAGTAAAATAACAAATGACACCTAGCAAGACAAAAGAAAGGAATCCCTCTACCTCACCATTCTTCTGCTTAACTGCAAATTGATGATACTTTAATACTTTAAAAACCCAGTCAAAGCAAACCATTGACTCTTGATCCTACCTACTCTAAGGAAATTAGGGTTATACACTCCAAGTTACCCAAACACAATTGATGATGAGATAATTAAACCATATACTGTGTGCTATATATGCCGTGTGCTAACTCACAGCTGAAAACGTTCATGGAGCAAAAAACAAAGAACACTTATCCCAAACAAACATTTTGACTGTTAGCACATCGGAAAATTAGTCTCCATTTCATTAAAAAGAAAAATATTTTGGCATCAACAGAATGGCCAACATTAAGATTCTCCCTCAAATAACTGGAAGAAAACACGTAATACATTCAAGAGCAAAGGTGAAAAAAATGTATCTTTCTATTCAGGAAAAGAATCCTTTCATTCAATTAGAGTATAAGTTATTAAAAGGGGGTAGTTATGAGTCTCTTCAGAGAGTTTCTGAACAGTTTATAAATACAAAAGGAACATTTCTTCAATAAATAAGTGGCTCCTAAAGTCTTTACTGATGACTTCCAGAACCCTCCATCACTGCTGTCCAGGCCAGCTCCACTTCTCTGAGAGGTTTTAGCTGCCAGTGGAATGGAATGTTTTCTGTTATTAGGTGACTCTTCTTATACCATGCAGACTTTCATCAATATATCTCTTCAGAGTCTGAATCCTGGAAGGGAAGAACAGCAGTTGTGGTATGCATACGAAGTATAACGCCACAGTCAGAACTTAGGCAAAGACCGCATGTTAGGATCCCCCAAAGGGAATTCAGCTTCGGGGAGACATCAGCAGCGAAATGGCACTGGTTCAACACACCTAAATTCCCAGGTGGCATCAGAGGACCTCAATATAATTAGTGTCTATTGCACTAATTTCTGCTTCAAAACCCTAAGGGATCCCTTTTCCTTGGTGAATGTTTTTTAAAACCCCATCACACATGAAAAGGTGCCTATCTACAGCAGAATGTGCAGGATTGTAGCTAGGAGTCAGACTTCCTGAGTTCCAATTCCAGCTCCACCCCTTGCTGGCTGTGTGACCTTGAGTAAAGTTACTTATCTCTAAGCCACAGCTTCCTCATCTGTAAAATGGGAATAATAAAAATACGTGCACTTCATAGAACAGCAATGAGAACTGAATGAGACAATGTATGTAAATCACTTAGCACAGTGCCTGGCACTTTGTGAGAGCTCATTCAAGATTAGCGACTATTATCGTTATTCTTATTTTCATTGTTCAAACTTGTATTCATTACTTCTAACCTCAAGTGGGCCATTAGTACTACCCGGCATATACCATATCTCTAGTCCATTCATCCTCCTTTTGTCCTAGATAATTACTTCATAACTTTCCCTCTTTCCACAAACCTCTAACACCTCCTCCTCACTTCATTCTCAGCTGACGACCCTGCTTCCTCCCATCATTGGGAACAGAGGAGCAGTCAGTAGGAAACTTCCACAAGCTCCCATCATATTTACCCACACATCTGTGTCTGGGCCCATCTACTTGGCCTTCCTTATTAGTCTTCTCATGGATACACTCTCCCTGCCTTTATCTAAGGCTAACATCTCTACTTGAGCACTAGATCCTGGAGTTGCTCCAGCAATCCTCCCCTCTCTCCTGCAGCATCAACTTTTTTTCTACTGGATCATTCCCATCAGCATACAAACGTGCTATAATTTCTCCCGTCTTAAAAAGAAAAGCAACTCTGGACACAGACCTCCTTCTACCGATTGGCTTTTTTCTCTGCTTCCTTCCACAGCAAAACTCCTTGAAAGAGTTGTTTACACCCACTTTCACCAATATATCTCTTCATATTCTTTCTTGACTCTACCCCATTCAGGCTTTCATCCCCGCTATTCAACTGAAGCTGCTGTTGCCAAGGTCACTAATGATCGTCACATTACCAGATCATCCAATAATCAATTCTCAGTTCTCATCTCGCTTGACCTGATGCAGCAGTAATTGACACAGTTAATCATTTTCTTTTCCTTGAAACACTTTCTTCACTTGGCTCCCAGGATATAGAACTCCCTGGTTTTCCTCCTACCTCACTGGACATTCCCTCTCAGCCTCCTTTGCTAATTCCTCCTCATCTCCCCAATCTATCAACCTTGAAAATCTCCAGGGCTCAGTCCTTTGAATTCTCGTTCTACACTCAATTCCCTGGTGGAAATATCTTCAGCAGTCTCTTTACACTGATGACTCCTAAACTTGTTTCTCCAGTCTAGACCCCTCTTCTGAACTCCACACCCATATAACCAATTGCCTACTCCACATCTCCACTTGGATGTTTAATAAGTATTTCAAACTTAATATATTCAAACTCAGCTCCTGATCTTCCTCCTAAAACTTATTCCACCCATAAACTTGTACATTAGAAAATGACACCTCTATTCTACTAGTGGCTCAAGTCAAGAACCTTGGAATTAGCCTTGACTCCTCCCATTCTTTCGCATATACATGCAACCCATCAGTAAATCCTTCTGGCTTTACCTTCAAACTATAATCAGAATACAACCACTTCCCATACCTCTACCACCACCACCCTGATCCAAACCAACACCATCCTCTCTCACCTACATTATGACTAAAGTCACTTAACCAGGGTCTCTGATTCTGACATGGTCCCTTACCACCTATTCTCAACACATAAGCCAGAATAATCCTTCTAAAACATACATCAGTTCACAATGCTTCTCTTCTCCAAAACCTCCAGTGGATTCTATTTCATTAAGAATAAAAGTCCTGGGCCGGCCCCGTGGCTTAGCGGTTAAGTGCACGCGCTCCGCTGCTCGCGGCCCGGGTTCAGATCCCAGGTGCGCACCTACGCACCGCTTCTCCAGCCATGCTGGGGCCGAGTCCCATATACAGCAACTACAAGAATGTGCAGCTACGACATACAACTATCTACCGGGGCTTTGGGGGGAAAATAAAAAAAAAAAAAAAAAGAATAAAAGTCCTGGGGGCCGGCCCGGTAGCGTAGTGGTTAAGTGCGCGTGCTCCCCTTTGGCAGCCCGGGGTTCACGGGTTCAGATCCCGGGTGCCCAGTGACGCACGGCTTGTCCGGCCATGTTGTGGTGGCATCCCATATAAAGTAGAGGAAGATGGGCATGGATGTTAGCCCAGCGCCAGTCTTCCTCAGCAAAAAAGAGGAGGATTGGCATTGGATGTTAGCTGAGGGTCAACCTTCCTCACAAAAAAAAAAACAATAAAAGTCACCTGCAGAGGGTAGGGGGGTTGGACAAAATGAGTGAAGGGAGTAAAAAGGTACAAACTTCCAGTTATAAAATAACTAAGTCATGGGGATGTAGTGTACAACATGGCAACTATAGTTAGGAATACTGTACTGCATATTCAAAAGCTGCTAAGAGAGTAGATCTTAAAAGTTCTCATAGCAAGAGAAAAAACTCTGTAACTATGTGTGGTGATGGATGTTGACCAGACTTACTCGTGATGATCATTTCATAATACATAAAAATATAGAATCATTATGTTGTGCACCTAAAACTAATATGATGTTATATGTCAATTCTATCTCAATTAAAAAAACTACTGAAAGCCAGCCCTGATGGCCTAGTGGTAAAGTTCAATGTTCTCCACTTTGGCGGCCCAGGTTCAGTTCCCAGTCATAGAACCACGCAACTTGTCTGTCAGTTGCCAGGCTGTGGCAGTGGCTTATGTAGAAGAACTAAAAGGACTTACAACTAGAATATACAACTATGTACTGGGGCTTTGGGGAGGGAAAAGAAAAAGAGGAAGATTGGCAACAGATGTTAGCTCAGGGCAAATCTTTCCCAGCAAAAAAAAAAAAAAAACTAGTGAGATTCAATATTCATTAGATAAAACATGACTTATTATCAGATAAGCAAAAAGAACTAAATCATTCAAATGATGCTTTGAATGTTTGCTTTGTAAAATATTACAAAAATATAAAAAATTTAAAAAACAAATGTGAAAAAAAAAGAATAAAAGTCCAGGTCATTATAATCACCTATGTTCTATAAGATATGACATTATCTCTCTGAAGATATTCTATTCTTTGCCTTACTCACTTCATTCCTGCCCCATTAGCCTCCCTGCTGCTCCTAGAACATACCAATCATGGCCCCTCCTCAGAGTCTTTGTACCTACCATTTCCTCTGCCTGGAACGCTCCTCTGCATCAGCCATAAGGCTTGCTATCTACTTCTTTTAGGTGTTTGATCAAATATCACTCCAGGGAGGGTGTCCCCAACCATCCTATTTAATATCATATCCCCCATCCAGCCATCCCCTCTCCCATTCCTACTGTATTTTTCTCTATGGCATTAAGCACTATCTGATACACTATATATTTTACTTATTTTTAAAAGATTTAGTTAGTTATTGTTTGTACCCCAGTTTAAGAGAAGGTGACATTTCAGCTGTGTCTTGGAGGATGCAAATTTTCCAGGTAAAGAATGAAAGTCCTTTGAGGGCAGGGATTTTTGTCAATTTTGTTCACTGCTATTTCCTAAGTACCTAGAATTGTATCTGGCATGTGACAGATGCTCAATAATAACTGTTGAACGAATTAATATCTGAAATGTGGATAATAATCATATGGACATTAACTAATTTTGTGTTATCAAAATATTCGAACCCCAAAGGGTTAGTATTAGACCTTCTCCACTGGAACTATCGACCTTTCCCTCGTATTACCTGTTATCCTTAAGGACACAAGAGAAAGATAAAAAAAGAACACTGCAGTGAGTAATTGGGCTGTGGTCATCTGGCCAAAGGCTGAGCTTGGCAATACAAGTACAATACAAATACAAAGAGGGCTCAAGTTTAAACCTTGTAATGATAGGCATGCTTCATATTAGATCATAAATTGCCTTTGACCTGTTTGCAACTGTACTACATCAGAGAGTCTTTCTTCCTCCTAGGATCCTGGGATGGCCACACAAGCCTACCAGTCACAGCAAGGGTTCAAAGGGGGAGGGATGACAGCCTTTCGAAATTTAAATCAAAACTCAGGCCTTCCAACATGGATATTTCTTATCGACAAAGCCACAAGTCACCTAAAAGAAAAAACTGAGGCACAGCAGAAAAGTTCAATTCAGGGCTCTGGGTCCCAGCCAGTCAAATTGTCCTCATATGACCTCAGTGGCATAGGACACTCCTCTTTCAAGATGTTCTGTCAGTCAGCAGAGATGCTCTACACAGTCCCCTTCCCTAACCTAAGGACACCACTCTATGCCCATGAGACATATAACAAAATAATAGTTAGAATTGGTAGGGTCCCCTGAGGCCAAAATACTCTGGGGTAAGATTTTGGTTCACACCTAGCTTAGGACCTGCCTGTATATCCTCTGCTGCCTCTGGGGGCAAAGGATCCCTGTAAGTAAGCAGGAAAATGAGACATGAACCTGAACAGAAGAAATGGCACGGGCTTACCAGGCACTCAGCACAACGGACACAAAGCCTCGCCATGCAGTCATCCTCCTCTTGGTCAGTGCTGTAGAAAGAAGACAAACCAACTCTGAACAATCGCTCTCCTCAGTCAGCAGAGCAGTTAAGAGCACAGGTCATTGAAATTGGACAGGTCTGCTTTTAAATTCCAGTTCTGCCACCTACTAGCAGGGTGACTGGGCAAATTACTGAAGCTCCAAGAGCCTGTTTCCTCATCTACAAAATGCAAATATTACCACCTACACTTAAAGGATAATGGTTGGGAGTAAATAAAAAATAAACACATATAAAACACGTCCCACAGTGCCCGGCACATAGGAAGTGCTCAATAAATAGGAAGGAGCCAGCCCTGATGGCCTAGTGGTTAAAGTTAGACGCTCTCACTGCTTTGGCGGCCCGGGTTTGTTTCCTGGTTGTGGAACCACACCACCAGTCTGTCAGTTGCCATGCTGTGGCGGCAGCTCACATAGAAGAACTAGAAGGACTTACAACTAGGATATACAACCATGTACTGGGGCTTTGGGGAAGAAAAAAAAAAAAAGAGGAAGATTGGCAACAGATATTAGCTCAGGGAGAATCTTCGTCAGCAAAATAAGTAAATAAATAAATAAATAGGAGGTAGTCACAATCATCCATTCAGAAACGGACTGAGCACCAACTATGTCTGAGCCATTGTGCTGGGCTGGGGATAAAAACATAAATAAAACACAGTCCCCTGAAGGGCTCACAATTTCCCGGGGGTAAAAGACCTGTTAAAACTTAACAACTATGTTATAATACAATGTAATAAACATTTTAATAGAGTTAAGGTCAAACTGCTGTGGCAACAAAGAGGAGGGTGTGACTAGTTCTCCCTGGACGACTCAGGGAAATGCAAGAGAACGGGGCAGTTCAGCTGGGTCTCGGAGAATAAGGAAGAGTTTTCCAGGTAAACAGGGAGGGATGGAGGGAATTCCAGGTGAGAGAAAACAATGTTGAAAAAAAGAGATCTGAACGAGTACAGTATGTTTAGAAAGGAAAATAGCTCACTGTAGCTGGAATGTGGAATGCACGAGGAGAAATGGCAGGAAAGAACACGACTTAGGGTTAGATCATAAAGGGGTCTTGTTAGACCATGCTTAGAAATAGACTTTTTAGTATTTTTACCAAGAGTTCTTTCCCTATTGGTGGGGGCCACAGATTTCTTGTAAAGGGCGCTCTCTCTCTCATTAAATAAATGCACATGCACGCATGCACACACACACACAGAGAGTTTTAGACCCTCTGAAGATAAGACTTCTCTCTCCAGGTTAAGAGCCCCTGACATAGACAATGGGGAATCAACAAGGGTTTTACGTAGACTTTTGTTACTTTTTTTTGAGTAGATTTGTTCTAGGGAAAATAGTGGATCATGCCTGCTCACTGGCAAAATGATGTTTGATGAACGCTTTTGATAACCACAATCCAATTAACCCCTTCAGAGCATCTGCTGACCAAGAAGAGATCTCGCTTATTTAAACTGTTTCTGCCCTTCCACGGCTGTTCTTAAAGCCTCTCTCATTGCTCAGGCATTTTCTGTAGGGAGACATCAGCTCAGCAACAAAACAAGGAAAAGGGGAAAATAACTGATTTGTTGGAATTTCCTTTTAATTTTGAAGGAATGAGATATTCACTTCAGAATTTATATTTAGAATAACAGCATTGTACAATCTGATTTCCAAAAGAGGAGACTAGGACCACACTATCAACCCCTCCATCTCTCTCTCTAAATTAATATCCCCAAGTTTCCCTTTCAACCTTCCTTCTAGTACTCTGGAAGAAAGCAAGGCATGGATGCTGGGGTCTGGGCACTATCCACGAGGCAGAGCCCTGAAGAGGGTTTACTGCTCAGGGCTCCCGCTGGACTTACTCATCTGAAACCTCAATAGATGACTTCTTATAGCTGGACTTGCTCCTCTTCTTCAGCCCCGCAGACTTTCTCGCCATTCTCACCAGCAGCAAAACAACCACGACAGCTGAGGGAATGAAGACAAGAATGGAAAGAAGGGCCACAGAGGAAAGCATGGTGCCAAAACCTAGAGGAGGAAAAAGAGAAAGTTAAAGAGAGGGACATGCAGAAGTGCTTCCTTTGACATGAGATAGGTTTTACTTTTGCTTGTATTTCTTCTGATTACAAAAGGAATAAATTCAATGTAGAAAATACATAAAAGTATAAAGAATAAAAATTCACCCATAATAACACTACCTAGGATTAACACGTTGGTATCTACCCATTCAATTTTCTTTCTAGGAGTATATGGGTATGAGTCTGCCTATAGGGAGGAGAGTGTATATTTTTAGAAGTATGGATTGTATTTTACATACTATTTCTAACATCTTTTTTTACTTAATACATGACAAATATTTTCCATGTCATTAAAAATTCCTTCCAGATGTGATTTTTAATGGCATCACAGTATTCTACCTTATTGAATAATTTATTGAATCTATCTTCTAATGCTGGCCATTCAAGTTGTTTCCAATTCTTTGAATCTATGAGTTATATCATGATGATCACCATTACACATAAATCTTCATATTTACCTCTATTTCTTTAAGATAAAATTTTAAAATGGAATTACTGGATCAAAGGGCGTACACTTTTAAGGTGTCTGATTCATACTATCAAACTGTCTTCCAGAAAAACTATACCAGTGTCTACTCCCGCCAGCAGCATGAACATGCCCATGTCTTTGAAACCTATGAGTTATTGTCTTAATAAAATAAAGAAGAAAACAGACAGGGAAGGGAGAAAGACTTGAGAAACGATGAGGCATCTATAATGAACCATAATGCAGTTCTGTATCTCTAAGTCTTTGGTTCAAATCCAACTAAGGACTAGAATGACCACTCAATAATCACCAGGGAATAACGTAGAGAAAAAGGTCAGTCCTTAACCTACTCTCCCCTGGCTCCATACTAAAAGGAAACTGCTGCTCTTTGCAACATAAAATAAACATGCTGCCTCCCATCCTTAGAGGGGGTCCTCTTTCAAGACACAGGCAAGAACACTGTCTTATAACTGAGGGTATGAACATACTAGGGAAACCAGAATGACTTCTACTTCACACAGATAACAACTCTCCATTTATTTAGGGGTTTGCCATACATTCCACAAAACCTCTGGTCACCTGAGGTTAAAATAAAAAAGGATAATGGAGAAACTATGACAATATTTGGAGAAAAACCAGTTTATAAAAATAAAGATAAAAAATTTATCCTAATAAAGAATTCAGGATGGCAGAATGTTCCAATAACAACTGGCTTACAAAGATAGGTAGCTCTGCTTATCACTGATCTCTCCAGAAAGCACCACAGTCACAGGGCACTGCAGAAGAAGGTTGGTGGCAGTTAGCTTACCCCTTTCTGTGACTGTTAGCTCTGTCACGGGAATATTATGGTGCACATCTGGGGGATTCTTCACAGCACAGCTGAATGTCCCATTGTCCTTGATGGTAGGGTTGCTTATGCTTATGGAGGCATCCCCTTTGTATACATCTCCAACCCAGGAAATTCGATCCCGAAATGTGCCTGCTGTGGTTGGGTACTGGAAGGACTGATAATGAAAAATCTAAGAAAGCAACACCACGAGGAAAAAGTTAATTTGGAAAGATGCATTGCCAACGTAAAGCTAAGTAGGTCCAAAATAAAATACAAATGTATAATGAGTTTTCTCCACTGGCAATTTTTTTATGCTTTGTTTACCTCCATCCTACAGGTTAAAAGACAGGTTAATAAAACATATCTGAAAAAGGCTTGATGAAAGAATCCTGCTATCCTAACTCTCAAATCTCTTCTAAATTCTCCCTAAAATCCTAAAGCAGTAGTTCTCAACCAGGGGCAATTTTGGCCTCCAGGCGACATTTGGCAATATCTAGAGACATTTTTGGTTGTCACAATTGGGGGGAGTACTACTGGCATCTAGTGCGTAGAGGCCAGGGATATTGCTAAAAATCCTACAACACATAGGATAGCCCCCCCAAAAGAATTACCCAGCTCAAAATGTCAACAGTGCCAAAGTTGAGAAACCCTATTCTAAAGTAGCATCTAATATTCATATAGTACTTTATGATTTGCAAATAATCTCCACACATTTACTCACTTGAGCCTCATAACAACACTGAACTATACATGGGGCAGGTATAATTATTCCAAATTTATAGAAAGGGAAACAAGGCTAAAAACAAAAAACTAAGTGAGTCACTCAAAGGCACACAGCTAGTAAGTGGGAAAGCGGAGATTTTTGTTTATCCAAAATCACCAGGAAAGTATAATATAATCAAGCCTCTCTCAAGTTATCTATCTTGGCAATTAATAAAAACCTCAAGTCAAATGCATGATCAGTACTCAATGAATGTGAACTGAATTAAAACGATGGTGCTTCAGATTGGTGATCAGACACTTCATCACCCAAAGCATCTAATTATATCTGATAGTAGGCCAGGCAGGTACTATAACACAATATGGTTTCTCACCCTTGTGCAAGATTCAAGGCTTTCCTCTTTCTTTGTTTACTTGGTACCTTCCCCCTTAAGAATCCAAGCATTTACAACCACTGAATTGCCCAATTTTGAAGAGGCACTTCCCAGAGAAGATGCTGAATCACTTACTAGTTCACTTGTTCATGTATTCATTCAACATATATTTACTGCACACCTACTCTATGCTAGACACTGTGTTAAGCAAAAAGATACAGTGGGAGCCAAATAGGCACAGTCCCTGCTCTCACAGAATTTACAGCCTAGTGGGAAATATAGATATTACAAAATAATAATATGTGTAATTAGTGTTCCAAAGAGGGAGGTAAAGAAAGGCTACAACTGATTATCAGCATCAATATAAAAGGGTTGGAAACTCCTTATTGACAAAACAAGGCCTGCTGTGTATCTTCAAGATTAATCCAACCTGTAAGTTACAAGTTAAATTAGTGATACTCAAATCCTTGCTAACTGATTAGTCTGACAGAATCCTAACTGATCATGTAACCGCGACATCATGTTACTTGATCTTTAAAAGTTCCACTAATTCCAACTTGGGTAAGTCTGCCGATTTTCTGACCAGCCTCACAGAGAACAGCACCAACTGCTGTTTGCATTTAAAGTCTCTGACCCAGGAAGATCCCCACTGCTTGCCCTGTCCTACTTTTGGCCAAGGAGGCGGAGCCAGATAAGGTCAGCCAGAGTTTCCTGACCACTCAGAAGAAAGTTAACTATTTTAAGTCTAAAGAAAAAGGGACGGTGAATACAGCCTAGCTTCCTCTACTGGAGCCACCTACCTAGCTCCAAGCTACGTGGCATTCACTAATAGCTCCTAAAACAAGATTCAAAGCTTCTACATTAAAATCAAAGAGAAATTTTTCCAGTGAAGGAAACAGGATAAATGAATTAAGAATACTTTCAAAATACAGTCTTACATACAGCTATGACATTCACATTCTTGATAGCATCTATCCTGAGCTAAGGATACTGCTGGAAGCATAAAGAGAAAGGGTTTTTTATAGCACTATAATCTTCAATTAAATATCTACAACGGGATTTGAACTATAAATGTGTTTTATATGTGTGACTAAAGTATATTGCTTCTAACATTGCAAGACTCTGTCACCAACAGCATCTGTCATCAACATAAGGTGCCACCATTTCCTTCAAAAGGAGCTATATAAATCAGTGCAGATGTTTATACACCGGGAGATGATGCCAAGATAAATCTACAGAGTACAGATATACAAGCAGACACACCCATTGAGACAACTTGATACCACAGGAAGTGAGCAACTTTAAGAGAAAGGACATCTATTACTGGGACCTATACAATTTTCCTATCCAACAGTCCTGGAGGTATCTTTTTAGTACATGGAATCTGAAAATGAATCTATGAAACCACACAAAAAGAAAAAACAAAGGGGAAATGAAATTAAACCACATTTCCTCTGAGTTTGACAATTTTTTTCCTACAGCTTATTTGCAAAATTCTTACATAAAAGAATAAAAAGCCCTATGTGACCAAATGAATGTCATAGAGTGTAGAAGCTCATCTTCTTCTATTTAAATAGCTCATCTTCTATGCTAAAATGAGAAGCCCTAAGGAGTGCCTGAGACTTGAAATAAAAGGATTCCAGAGCTGTTGACCACAGAAGACTCAAATAAATTTCCCTAGAAGTGTACACTTACCGATTCTGTGCGGCTGCTGCCAGGAGGTCGATACGTCCAGTCTACGGTGAGTTTGTCAGTGACAGATGAAGTCGACTTGAAGGTGCATTTCAACCTGATCTTTTCTCCAACATAACCCTGGACATGGGCAGCTGCTTTAATCTCCAAGGAAAGGACGATGTAAACACCTAATCAAAGCAAGCCCAAACATTTAAAATGGATTTATTTGAGTGGAATATACAGATACGAGTGAACAATATAGAGACGCTATTTATCACTTCTAAGGCTCTCATCAAAAAGCCTTGGCAATAAATATCTTCTCAAGTAAGCCCAAAAGGACAAAGGGCAGATATCTGCATTAACCAAAGGTAGTATTTTTGTCATTTTACAATATTAAATCATAGAATGAATGCTTGGGTAAAAATTTAAAACCTTGTCACATCAGCATTTTTCCAAACACAGACTTGCGGTTAAATTAAGTACAAACAAATGGGTCAGCCCACAGCAGGCTAAAAGATTAAGCCACCCACTTGTCTCACACACATACACACACACATATACACACACTCCAGGAATATGACAGCTTTTTGGTCTAAGTGACTTACCCCAAGCACAGCAAGGTTGTAACTTGAAGCTACCACTACAAAACTACCAGCAAAATGAGAATAGGAAATTTTTTTCAAAGAATTTTATGGAACTGTCCCAAGGTTCTATCTAGTTTTGTTTTGTTTTTTTCCTTTCTTAAAGCTGGTTAATGAATCACACATGCATTAAAAGTAAATCATGGGGAGGAAAACAGACCAAGTTAATGCACGCTAAAATGTAAAAATAAGACATCATTTTTAAACTCTCTAGAGACTTACTCTTTCCAAAACCACCTCAGACATCCAACTGTGACACTCCATCCCCCCCAAAAGAGTTGGCACTTTCTTCTGATCCATCCCCTCTGCTTTCAGAGAACCGTGAGTAGAAATTTAGCTTCCACTAAGGAGCCATTTTTTAGAAAAGTAAGCCACCAGCACGTCGTTTTTCCTGCTTCCTTCTCCTCCGCAACAAGCCCTGATTCTTCTGGCAGGCCAAAGGCCAAGAGAGCAACAAGATTTCAGAAGACAGCAAACCCACACACCGTCCTGGAAAACCAGCAGTCCCTCTGGTAGAGGCAGGATGCAAATCCAAGCCCTGTCACTTGCTGGCTTTGTGGTCTCAGCAAGTTACTTTACTTCTTCAGTTTCTCACCCTGGGGGAATGATAATAATAGCACCTATCTTAGAAGGTCACTGTGAGGAATAAATGAGTTAAAACATGTATAACACCAAGAAGCCTACCTAACCTAGGGTACGTGCTCAATGCATGTTAGATAGCTTCATCATCATTATCGCCATCTCTTCAGTTCTGCCTACACTCTCAACCTTTCCTATCACAGACACAGTTATGCGTCATCAATTCCACTGCCTTTACCTCTGCTGCTCCGAACCATTTTTCTGGCTCCTCTCTAGACAATCTAGTCTGTCCACATTCCTCTTAAAACGAAGAGACCAAGACTGAGCTCACAACTCTAATAAGAATCTGACGCATCCCAAAGATGAAGATTACTTCTGGTTCATCCATAGCTTCTTCTCTGACTTTGCCATGCTAAACTTGTTGTTCCTTCTATGCAAATGCTGTTCCTCAGCCTGGAACACCTTCATCCCTCAGCCGCTACTCTCTCCTAAGCCCTCACTCCTGACTCACCTTACTCATCACTCAAGAACCAGCTCTAAAAACTGGAAGGGGGAAATGAATGGATAATCTACACTCTCCTCATGCCCCATGCCTTTATCCTAAAATATAAGTATAGTAGAGAGATTTAAGAGTGTGGATTTAGAATGAGATAGACCTGGACTTGAGGTCTAGCCCAGCTACTTTCTAGCTATGAGACCTTGATCACAGTTCCTAACCTGTCCAAGCTTCAATTTCCTCACTTGGTAAATGGGAAGAATAACAAGACCCACTTCATTGGATCACTGTGAGAATCCAATAAGATTAAATAAGATAACACACAAAATGCCTAGCACAGCATCTGAAATAGAAACTTTCAATAAATGTTAGCTATTATTATTAAAATAAACACCACAAACATTCAAAAGCCTTTAATAATTCTCTATTGGGCTACGGAATAAAATCCAAAAAGTGACAATCTGGCCCCAAACTTCTGCTACTCCACCCGCCTACACATCCCGTCCCCTTCACCATGCCCAGAAGGTCCTGCCATTTCCCAAATTTGCTATGTCCTTTCATGCCACTGTGCCTTTCTTTGAATATGTGTTTGGCTGGAAGGCTCTCCCTATTCCTACCAATCCTGCCTGGGTTGTTCCCACCACACCCAAACCCCCAACTCTCAAACACCTCCAAAACCCAGCTCAAATATCAGCCCCCTTTGTGATGCCTTCCTAAATTCCCTGATGTATCTCATTGCTCTTTCTTCAATGTTCTCATAACATTTAGTACATAACGCTATTCAAGCACATACACCATTGATTGTGGTCAATTTGTAAAGACTATTTCCTCCATTAAATGCAAGCACTTGAAGGGCAAAAATTCAGAGGGAGGGGAGCAGGCAGGGACAGACTGAGAGAAGAGGTGGACAGGTCACTAAAAGTTCTAGTGTAGGAACAAAGCGTGACCATTAGTCACCCACTTTCTTCCTATGCCCTGTCTACAGTATTTTCAACATTCTTATGTCCTCTACACTCCTCTCTTTCCATTGCACCCATTCAGGGAAAGCTCAACCCTAGATGACCACTCCTAGACTGTGGCTAGTGTACAGTAAAGGTAAAAAAAAAAAATCACACAACTGCACAGATAGTTACCACAAGAAATTTGTGAATTCCACCCACAGTTGAGGTACAGTGACCCTTTAACCAGCCTTGGTCAGCTCCTCTTTCTGATTCCTCAAACCTCTGCCATTCTCTTTCATCTTCTGTGCAACCTTCAAATCCCTCATTCTCAGAAGAAAATGTCTCCTCTTACTTCTTCAAGAAATTTGAGGCCATACAAACTGCCCAGCCACACACCTTCTTGTGTCTGCACCTATACTTACTTCCCATCTGAAAGAGTGTGGTGTCCCTTCTCCTACACAAGGCCAACCTCTTCTGCTTTGCCCTGGATCACTCCTCTCCAAGCCCTGCTCCAGCAGAAAAATCCTCTCTACTATCTTCAACCTCTCCCCTTCCAGAGGGGCTCTCTTGCCCTTCAGCCTCTAAACACACAGAGGTCCCCCCCATCGTTAAAAACAAACAAATAACAATAAAACAAAATAATAACAATCTTAACCCTGTAATACTACTTGTTACCAACCACTGCCCTCTCTTTCCTTTCTAAGCCAAGTCGGTGAAAGAGCAGTCTATACCTAATGTCTCCATTTCCTCCCTTCCCTTCCACTTCTGGACCCCTACAGCACAATCTGGACTCCACTACCACTTCTGGTAAAGGGCATCATGTCTTAAAACTGTAAAATCCAAGGGATAAAAACTCCAATAGGCACTTTTCTATCCTGATTTTACTGGATCCCTCTGCCTCAGTGACTACTTGCTCCTTGACCTCCTCTATCCTAGGCTTCTATGACAATACTCTCATTCCTCACTCATTCTTCAAACGTATACTTATTGGGCATCTGTTTTGTGCCACCCTCTGAGCTTGGAATTAAATGTGAGCAAAATAAATTCACTCTCTGTTTTGGAGCTTAAAATACAGCAGAAGTTCAATAAATTAATCAAATAATAATAAACACAAATGTCTAATTACAAACTCTGATAAGTACTATGAAGGAAAAACAAAGAGAGTGGCTATGAGAATTGCACCTGTTATAATAGGAGAGCAGGGAGTGGTTAATGAAAGCTTCCCTGAAAAAAGTTACTTTTGAGTTGAGTTCAGAAAGAAGGGTAACAAGGTAAGGAAAGGGAGAGCATTCCAGGCAGAGGATACAGCATATGCAAATGTCCTGTGCCAGGAAGCAGCACAGTCAGTCAAGGAACTGAAGGAAAGGCAGGATGGCTGAAACACACAGAGCATGAGACAGAATGAGGTGTGGCTAGGCAGGAAGCAGATCATGCAGGACCTTAAAGATTTGAGTACTGGAAAGCCATGGAAAATACTTAAATGTGGGGATAAGTGAGAAGAGACATGATGAAGTTTGCATTTTCAAAAGATCACTCTAGGGAAGACACTTAGAAGGAATCAAGAATAAATATAAGGGGTTTACTTAGGAGGCTACTACCATAGTCAAATGAGAAATACAGGAAGCTTGAACTAAGTTGGTAGCAGTGGACATGAGCAGAACTAGGAAGACAACAATACTTATAAGGTAAAACCAGCAGGAAGTGGTGACAGATCAGATGAGGAATGTTAGGGAAAGGGGGGTGTCAAGGATAACTCTCAGGTTTCCAACTTGGTGATACCATTCACTGACACAAGGAAGGCTAGAAAAGTACCAGGCTTGGCAGGGAAGAACACGAATTTGATTTTAGATAAGTTTAAGGTGCCTTTGAGATGCCCAAGGGATGTCAAGGAGGCAGTGGGTTTAGGGCAGAGGTCAGCAAACTATGGCCCATGGGCCAAATCTAGCCCACAATGTCTTTTTATAAATAAAGTTTTATTAGAACACAGCCATGTTCATTCATTTATGTATTATCTGGGGCTGCTTTTGTACTACTCCAGCAGAGTTGAGTAATTGCAACACAAACCATCTGGCTCACAAAGCCTAAAATATTTATTTTCTGGCCCTTTACAAAAGTTTGCCAACCCTGGTTTAGAGCAAAGAAGAAATATGGGTTAGAGTTGTAAATAAGAATCGCATTAGTCTCCCTACACCCAGCTCTCCACACTGATTGTGTTGCATACACACACACACACACACACAAACTCCACATCTCTGATAGTTTCTATCAAACCTCTTTCTAAGGCTCCTCCTTTCCTACTCATCCCTTAAACACTGGTGTTCCTTAGAGTTCCACCCTAAGCCCACAGACCTTCATTCAACATGTTCTCCCTGGACAATCCTATCCACTTCTATAGATTTAACAACCACTAATAGGCTAATGATTCCCCAGTCTATATTGCTAGCCATGACCTGCCTCTGAGTGTCCAAATGTTTCCAGATACATGCACTTGGATATCACCATCACTGGACCTCAAATTGAACATAGTGAACTTTTGTTTACTGCCAGCTCAACATCCATTCCCTTCATTGCCTGTTCTAACAATACTCCGATTTTTTTTTTTTTTTATATCCACCTTTCCCACACAGCTTCTGAGCTTGGGGGAAGATGCCTCTATCAGTCAGGGTCCAGGGAGGAAATGGAAGGTACAATCAGCTGAGATTTTGAAAAGTACATGGGCCACTTTTCAAAAGGACCTTTTCTCAGAGTCATGGAAGCCACCAAAGGGACAAAGCCTTTACCATCCCCAGCCCTGAAGGGGAAAGGGAGGAAATGGTGCTACAGGAGACTGGTAAGAGCTGGAGCTGTGAGCCACATGACAAATGCTGTAGCCATAGAGAGACACAGCTAGTATAAACCATAGCACTAAGACAGGGAGGGAGCAGGAAAGAAATTCCCTGATACCTTTCTCTTCCTGCCCTCCAATCTCCTGCCAACGCTTTTCATTGACCAAATCTAACTGGGAGCCAGGGAAGGGAGCCTAGATGATGCAGTCTATACGGTCAGCTTTCCAAGGAGTAAAGAAGAACTGAGAAGGGAAGCAATAGATCTGGTGGACGATGAGCAAACTAAGAATAACGAGCAACTGACCCTACCCCCAGCTCTTGAGGGTGACCCAGATTGGCCTAAACCAATCATTATATCGAGAAGTGTGCTGGTAAACAGCTAAAAAAAAAAAAAACTGTTTCTTTGGTGCCAATATTCCCACCATGGCTAATTTCAAGCTACAAAGGTAAGGTCTCTGAATGCTGAGTTAAGAAGAGAGGTGCATAACTGGCCCTTGAGAGCCAGTAGGAGCTGGCTCCAGCACACCATCCTCCTGACCACAGAGATATGTTTGGGGTCAACATGTGATTTAAGCTAACCCAGTCAAAGTAAGTTTCAGAAAACTTGCTTGGAAACTTAGTTAATGCCTCCATGCCTTGTTTATGTTCCTCTCTGTGTCTGGAATTTTCCTCACTCTCTATCTCTAACTCTTATTCTTCTTTCACGATTTAACTTCGGTGATACCTCCACAAAGTCTTCCCTGTTCCTCATGGCAGATTAAGGGCACCTCTTATGGGCACCTCTTCTGTGCTCTCATAGCTTCTAGTGCATTTCTCTCTTAGTACCAGCTAATTCTAAAATTATCTGTTGATCTATCTTCTCAAATAGACCCTGAGGTCATCCAAACAGAATCTAGCACATTGTGGATGCTCTGCAATATTCAACTGAATCAAATCAACAGTTTCCTTTTCATAAAACAAAAATTGTTACAAAATAAGCATAAAAATTACAAGTTCTAAGCAAATTCTGGTTACTGAATTATAGTAAGTACACAATTAATAATGCTACCTCTCTACCAATTTCTTCCTTGTTAATGTATTTGAACTCCATATTCATGAGCATGATTTTGCCACAAAGTTATCAATAGGTAAAGTCACTTTGCTGACATCTAAACACTGGACAAGCAGGTCTTAAATGTATAGTAACAGAAAAGACCCACGGGTGAACTAAACTACTCTACACTACTAACCTACACATCAGGATGTTGGTTCTCCTTGGGGAAGAAGGGATAATGACTGGAAGAAAGCACAAGGAAGGCTTCTGGAGTATCAGTAATGTTCTACATCCTGATTTGGATGCTGGTTACCCTGGTGTGCTCAGTTCCTGAAAGTTCATTGAGCTATACACTTATACATGTACACTCTTCTCTCTATATATATTGTACTGAAATTAAAAGTGTTTTAAAATCAATGGATGTAGGGCCGGCCCCGTGGCTTAGCGGTTAAGTGCACACGCTCCACTGCTGGCGGCCCGGGTTCAGATCCCAGGCGCGCACTGACGCACCGCTTCTCCGGCCATGCTGAGGCCGCGTCCCACATACAGCAACTAGAAGGATGTGCAGCTATGACATACAACTATCTACTGGGGCTTTGGGGGAAAATAAATAAATAAATAAAATTAAAAATAAAATCAATGGATGTAAAATAATTTGTCTACTCCACTGGGAAAAAAAAAGAAAAAAAAACAAAACAAAATCCAATGTTACATTCATTCAGAAATTTTTATCCTAGGCCTAATGTGCTTATGGGTATTTATTTTTTCATCTGAGTAAAAAAGCATTCTTGCCAGCTAAAAACAGCCAACTATAGAAATACTTATAATAATTAACAAAAATTTTTTATTCTGGAAGGAAAACAAGAAAATCACATTTAAACATAAGTATCTTAATAAATGGAAGAAATGAAAAAAATGACAAAACTCTCAATTTTGTACACTCAATTTTCCAAAATACAAATCTGTCAACCTTTGATTCATAAAATCGCACACTTATATGGAAAAGAGAAAAGAGTAAGAACCCTGGCTACCTAATCTATTGTTTCTATGTACTTTGACAACCGATGTAGCAGAACCATATTTATAACTCAGGGAGAATTCAAACAAGTTAATAATTTAATGAGTCTTATCTTTGAAGAGGAAAAGCAAACACTGGTATGAAACCAAAGCCTATTGCTAACAGATTTAAAACAAGTGAGACCCCAAAAAATGGATGAACCTTGAAAACATGCTAAGTGAAAGGAGCTAACCACAAAGGAACATATATTGTATGATTCCATTTATGTGAAATGTCCAGAGTAGGCAAATCCATAGCAACAGAAAGTAGATTGGTGTTTGACAAGGGCTGAGGAAAGGGAGGAATGGGGAGTGACTGTTAATGGGTATAGAGTTTCTCTTTGGGGTGACGAAAATGTTCTAAAATTTTTTTTTAAAGATTTTATTTATTTATTTTTCCCCCCAAAGCCCCAGTAGATAGTTGTATGTCACAGCTGCACATCCTTCTAGTTGCTGTATGTGGGACGTGGCCTCAGCATGGCCGGACAAGCGGTGCGTCGGTGTGCACCCGGGATCCGAACCCGGGCCGCCAGCAGCGGAGCGCATGCACTTAACTGCTAAGCCACGGGGCCAGCCCTGTTCTAAAATTGATTGTGGTAATGATTGCACAACCCTGTGAATATATTAATAACCATTTAATTGTATATTTTAAATGGGTAAATTGTATGGCATGTAAATTATATCTCAATAAAGCTGTTATTTTTAAAAAGGCAAAAGATAAATCAACTCAACAAGTACATACAGATCATAAAATCAACTTTTAATGTTTGAATTATTTGGTCTGCTGGACTTGTGGATGCTTTTCAATGTGAAATGACATAAAATTTAAGAAACTACGCACCATTTCTAGAATTCTTTTTCTCAACAGAACAATAGTTGAATATTTCCTTGTGTGTGTGAGAGAGACAGAGAGATGAAACTGGGATTATTTAGAGTGACAGGCCAGCCTAAATATTATATTACAAAATAATTTAGCTGAAAAACTGGACACTCATGATGACATGGTCAGCTGGGAGGGATCAGGGAGTGTGCCGGCAGAATAAATATTAGTCATCAAATAAATAAAAACGTCCCCGCCTTACCTGCTAAGATTTAGAACACCTTAAGTCTTTATGTTAAATGTCCCCTTCAGAAATTCCCACTTACCCACAGGGAAATTTTATGAAGTTAACAATTCACTCTAATGCTAGCTCTACTAACTACGATTTCCCAAGAAGACATACACACACAAACACACCCACACACAAATCTGGGAAATAATTGCACCCTAACATGAAGGTAATTAGGTTGTACTGAAATTTACGCAATTTGAAAATTGCATCAAAGCAAAACAGCCAAATTTTAAGAATATGTCACAGTGTGAATACTGTACTTCTGATATTAGTAATACATTAAAATTTTAACAGAATTGATATGCCCTGTCTTGTATTTTAAAAAATGTGCTATTAAAATGCCAAGGCAGTTGCTTTTTCCTGAACAAAATGAGTATTATAACAAAATCACAGCACATCCTTTCTGTGACTAATAAACGTTTTACCTCACAGGCCCTGACAATCACCTACAAAAATGAAATTACCAAGTCTTAATTTTCTTTCCCAAAATTACTGGGACCAACTACTGAACACTAGACTTGCCCTTTCCTAACGAGGATACACAGCCCACAGAACCACAGCAGAGTCAACCACTGATAACTCAGCACAAGATAACACCACGTGCCCCAAAGCCAGAGCCCTCCGTGGGTCTATCAAGCCGTGCCATCACCAGAACACCACGCAGTCACGCAAGGTGGTCGAGCTCCCAGCGGCTCAGGAAAGCACTGACAAGATACCTACTGCCCTCAGCGGGCAGTGGTTACAAGAAGAGAACATCCTCCCCACACCCTCCCGCTTCCTTCCTTCCCAGAAGCGTTATGGGGGCTTTCCTGAGACACCCGCCCCCGGAACCGGAAAAGCGACCATCTTCCCTATCCCCCCGGCCGGAAGTGGGGCAGAGCCTGCTGGCGCACTCACCTTGAAACCACAGGACGGCCAGCAGTGGGAAGAGACCGCAGCCACGGCCTCCCGGCGCCCCGCTCTGCTGCATCCCGACAGCTCTCCAGATCCTTGCACGCCTTGTTTACCGCTCCCGGTAACAACACAGGTAACACCGGAAATGACGTAGGGCGGGAGGCAGCGAGAACACTTAAAAAGGGCAATTCGAAGTTGCCATAGGAACCTGGCTTTTCTTCCAGAACCACACCTGAGCTTGCTCACCAATGAGCGATCCTTTAACTCTCAAATAGGAGTTACTTATTCTCTTTTGCTTGACAATGAAACAGGCTACAGAGTTTGGAGAATTTACAATTTATTTTTATGGAATTCTGCAGTACTGAATAGTCTTCATCCTCTGACTATTGCGGAAGCCTTTTTTACTCCCTACGGATTATTTTATTTGAACGCTCTCAGAATAGGCTTCTATATACTTAGAGTTCGGAGGGACCTAGGAGATCATACAGGATCAGTCAGTCAATAAAAAAATATGAATTAGGCTTTCGTGCCGAATTTGTGCCTCAAGTCTCTTTGGTTCGTGTTCTTTTTTTGGGTGTAGCTATTACAGCATCCAGCTCAGTACCTACCTAAACTGGGTGTTTATTAAATTGCTGTTGACAGTGGCAATGATGAAATCATCACAGCATATAATAGAGAAAAAAGGAACTGAGATTTGTGTATCTTTTGGTTGGAAAAGTGAGAAAGTAATGTTTTCACGGTGCTTAAAGTGAAATGAAGAGATGGTGTCACATTCGTCTGAAAAAGAGATGGGTTGGTGCCCCACTTTAATTATTAGTCCCTCTCTTCTCCTGGAATCTCTGTATATTTAATGGAAGCAAGAGGGGAACAAAAGTATGCTTCAGTTTTTGGGAAAGTTTAATAACTTTCCATTTTTCAACTCCCATTTCTTTACTAGACTTGAAAGCGGGTAGTTTTCTCTATTAAGAAGGTAATGTAAAAGTACCAAATGGAATAGATACTGTTCCTTGGAAACAGTCCCCAACCTAAGCAGTTTGTTGTGCCCAATTCCCAGTTATCCAAAGCAATGTGAAAATTCTGTGGCAATCCATTTAGATTTGTTTATCCAGCAGAAACTAATTCTATCCATTACTGACTTTCAAGCTGCCTCTAAGGAAATTTTTCAGTGACGATAAAACATATACCCATCTGTTTTCTATTACTTGCTATGTAAAATTGTTAGATTTGTATATAAGCAAATTATATAATTGGTAATTCTTTATTACTAAAAGTTATTTACATAAGTGTTTAAGGCACAATAAAAAATAAATTACAGTACAAAAGTTCTCTTTAGGAAGAAGACACTGAACAACAGGGCAATATTAACCCTTGAATATTTAACCAAGACATGCTACAAGTTTTGCAGGAAAGACTTTCCATGAGATTTTAACTACTTCTTCAGTACAATTATGGAACATCATCCAGGCTGTCTGTTTGAAGAAATATCCAGGTTTTTTTTTTGTGAGGAAGATCAGCCCTGAGCTAACATCCGTGCTAATCCTCCTCTTTTTTGCTGAGGAAGACCAGCTCTGAGCTAACATCTATTGCCAATCCTTCTCCTTTTTTTTTTGTTCCCCAAAGCCCCAGTAGATAGTTGTATGTCATAGCTGCACATCCTTCTAGTAGCTGTATGTGGGACGCAGCCTCAGCATGGTGGGAGAAGCGGTGCGTCAGTGCGCACCCGGTATCCGAACCCCGGGCTGCCAGCAGCGGAGCGCACACACTTAACCGCCAAGCCACGGGGCCGGCCCACCAGTTATATTTTAAAAGGTTGAATTATGAAGAAAAATAGAAAATATGAATTAAAGGTAATATAGGCTTTTAAAATTGAAACTAATTTTAGTTTCAAAACTGGGTATTGGAACCTACTTTTTTAGGCAGTGTAAAACGCAAAAGGAGACAGGTATGGAATAAATTTCAGAATCAAGGTTCATATGTAAATTATACCAATTTTTTTAAGTATTGGAAAAAATATCAAAGTTCAGCATCTTTAAATACAGATAACCTATTTGGAAATTCCAGTTTGTTAAAAGAAATAACATCTACAGCCCAGTTGGTGAAAACTGAAAATATCAGGTGGTAAAGATTTTGGAGGGGCCTAAACTTTTAGATGTTTTCTATCTTTTGAATAAATACTGCTGTGGCTTAAGTTTGAAAAGACACTGGGAAACTAGACGCTTTCCATTGCTCACTTATAAAGTTTGCTTTATCTACTACTATAGGGAAAAAAGAATAAAGTTGGTTTCGTTCTGTTAGTTTTGGTATTTCTTTACCCCATACCAAATCCTCCTTCCCCCAAAATAAACAAGTAAATTAAAACAAAAAATAAATAAATAAAAGAAAACAATTTTTAATCTCTTCCAGTTCTTAGAGTTTTGTATAACACTATACAAAATTATCATCACTTAGGGTTGATTTTCTTCACCAGCCCTAAATTGTTAAAGTTGTAATATACTATTTAAGAATCCTTCTATTTAACTGCTTAATGATTCCAGTCTACAAATGAACACAGACTTTGCTCTGTTGTCATAGATAATTGAATTGGTGGAAAAAACCTATTAAGCTAAACAGTCATTCACTGCTAATGAAAGACCTGTACTGTTGATTGTTTTTCACAACACAGGAAAAAGGTGACAAACAATTCATCCTGAAGTGGCATTTGTCAATCTATTAGCATTTATGTAACCTTTTCTAGTTACTCTGTGATTTAGACTTGTGCTCTTGTAAACCTTGGATCAACTGACAAAAAAAAAAAAAAAACCCTATCATCTAGGATATTGAAAGAAATTCAATAAAATGAGGTGTGTCCCGTATTTAAGGAGAGCCATAAAAATTCAAACTGTTCTTTAATAGTTTGAATTTAGGATTTTCTGTTAATCGATCAAAAATAGCTAGAAGAACTAGCTCACTTTTTAATTGAGAGTGTGAGAAGGAAGGAGTAAACACATTAACTTTAGTAGCAAAAGTGGTGCTCCAAGGAAACCAATATGTTGAAGGAAATGTCATGACGAACAAGTTGGCATTTATCCCATTTGATGCCAATGTACGTGTATACAAGTAGTAATCCACAAGGAGTGTTTAAGGACAAAAAAATGTGTCTTCTTAGTATACAAAAGCTAATGAGCATTTGATAAATATTTGCCCTCTGAAATTAAATAAAACCTTAGTAATGGGGCTATGCATGAGTCTGCTGGCGTCTGCTCAAGAGGGGCCTACGCTGGCTCTGGAGATGTGTTGCTTATCTAGGTCGCCATGTACTGCAGAGCTGGGTGGAAGGCACGGCACAACTGCAAGAGTCAAACAAAAGCTTCCATTAACTTCATCTTATCCTAGGGTTCTTGTGCTTGGAAATCTTCAGCTTCCTGAAATACAGAAGTTTAAATGGATAATGCATTTGGGAAAAGTACAATAGGAGTACCTGGCATTATGAATTACATATATATTATTAGATCTGTTCTCCGTGATGAAGGAAAACATTCTTGAAAGTATTTGTCTTCCCTCTAACTTACCTTTTTTTTTTTTTTTTTGTGAGGGAGATCAGCCCTGAGCTAACATCCACGCTAATCCTCCTCTTTTTGCTGAGGAAGACCGGCTCTGAGCTAACATCCATTGCCAATCCTCCTCCTTTTTTTTTTTCTTCCCCAAAGCCCCAGTAGATAGTTGTTATGTCATAGTTGCACATCGTTCTAGCTGCTGTATGTGGGACGCGGCCTCAGCATGGCCGGAGAAGCGATGCGTCGGTGCGCGCCCGGGATCTGAACCCGGGCCGCCAGTAGCGGAGCGCGCGCACTTAACCACCAAGCCACCGGGCCGGCCCCCCCTAACTTAACTTTTAAAAGAAGTTTCCTGATCCTTACTGCATAGTTCTCAAGAGTCAGTGTCCTTAATTCATAGCCTCTGCCTTGCATGGACACTTCGATGATCCATACCTTCTCTCTCTCTCCTTTTTGTTATAAACAAAATCAAACATACAGATAAGTAGAGAAGACAGTGTATGGAATTCATCCATCACCTGATTTTAAAGCATTTTTTGCCTTACTTGATGTATATATATTTTTTTTTTTGACTGAAGCTTTTAAAACAAATTACTGACGTTTTACTCCTAAATACTCCAATATGTATTTTTAAAGTAGGGACATTTTCCTATATAACCATAATACCCTTATTATACCTAATAAAAATTAACAATAATTCCCTAATATTATCCATATTTAAGACTTTCCCAGTTGTCCCCCCAAATCTTTTTACAACTAGTTTGTTCAAACTGGTATCTGTCCAGTCAGGGATCACACATTGCACTTCATTGTGTTAGTTCCTTAAATTCCCTTTAATGTAAAACAACCCCCATCTTTATTTTCCATGACCCTGACTTCTTAGAGAATCTACTTGATTTTAACAAGACAATAGCTCCTGGTAAAATCTCTGTAATACCAAATTTGTTTTTCTGGTTTTACAATAGAGTCATTTTTCTCCGTATTCTATTTTATAAATCCTTGAGGTCTTTTGCTGGAGCTTTAGGCTATAAAATGTGACTCTTTTTGCAAATAATAATAGTGGACCTACTTCAGTGAATAGAAGAAATTCTGATCATATGAAAAATAAATCACCCCACCTTTTAACCATAATAAACCTGAAAACTGGAACAACAAAATTACACACTACTAAAATTGAATACATAGTCCCACTAACAAAATGAGAGGAGTTGAAATCAATTTCAAATAGTTACAAAGTTCTGTCAAAATGACAGTCATATCTGGGGCCAGCCTGGTGGCGTAGCGGTTAAGTTCTTGAGCTCTGCTTCCGTGGCCCAGAGTTCGCAGGTTCGGATCCCGGGTGTGGACCGATTCACTGCTTGTCAAGCCATGCTGTGGCGGCATCCCATATAAAGTAGAGGAAGATGGGCACCTAGGAAGATGGTGACGGATGTTAGCCCGGGGCCAATCTTCCTCAGCAAAAAGAGGAGGATTGGCAATGGATGTTAGCTCAGGATTAATCTTCCTCACAAAAACAAACAAACAAACAAAAAATGACAGACATATCTATTGAGTCACTCTTCTAGTGCTATGATTGGTTTACAATAAAACAAAACAAACAGATATTAATTCTTTCATTAAAAAAATAATAAAGATTTATTTACATGTTGAAAGTTAATTTATTATTCTTGGTGGTGGTAAATATAATCCCATAGCCTCAAATAACCTTAGAATTCTCTCAGCTTTAATGGTAGTAGGGTGTAACTTCCTGATCCTTTGCACAAAACACACTCAAAGGGGAAGCCATCCATAAAAGACTGTTATCTCCCTCACCCAGCTCCTCTAATTTCATGTAGAAAACACCTAACAATCAAAATCTGGGAGATCCACATTAGAGATGGGCCAGACAAGAAAGCTAAGGAAAGAAATCAACCCATTTGTGAACCTCACCATCTAATAATGTTAGTCTGTGTCTTCTAGATAAACAGAGACTTTTTTTTCTTGGTTGAGCCTTTCCTCTTCTTTTCTGTAACAAAGAAGCAGAAACCAGTGTCAGGTGAACAAGACAAGATACAAGGGGGGAAAATATTAAACAGCTTCAAGTGAGGTATTTTCCCCCCATATTTTGGGAAGACTGACATGCATCTGGGAGTAGATCCAAGCTAACAGATAGCTAAGCTACTAGTGCCATCTAACTGATAATACTCATGCCTCCACATGACCCAGGTATCCAAACTTAGATACTTTTCAGAATATTTTTAGATGGGAATATAATTTGGGAACTTTAAAGCAGACACCTTAGTTTACCATTAGTATTCTATCTTTAATTCTGCTCCTTACTCAAAAAAGAAAAAAGTTTGGTGTTGACCTAGAAGTTATCTTTATTGATTATATTCTATTCAAACCAGAACCTCAGAGTTGGGTTCATTAGGCTCCTTAAAATCAATGCTATTTACTTCAGTAAATATTTCCTGAGAAAAGAAACAAATGGTGCTGTGACAACTGAAAAACTGCAACTGCAAAAGAATGAATTTGGACTCCTACTTCATACCACATATGAAAATTAACTCAAAATGAATTGATTGAAGACCTAAATGTAAAAACTAAAACTGTAAAGCTCTTAGAAGAAAACATAGGCATAAATATTCATGACCTTGGAGTAGGCAATGGTTTCTTAAATATGACACCAATAGCACAAGCAATAAAGAAAAAAAAATAGATGAATTTGACCTCATCAAAATTAAAAACTTTGTGCTTCAAAGGACACTATCAAGAAAGTGAAAAGATAACCCACAGAATGGGAGAAAATAATTGCAAATTATATATCTAATAAGGCACTGTTGGATTCTCCAAAATATATGTAAAAAACTCTTATAACTCAACAATAAAAAGACAACCCAACTTTTAAATGGGCAAAATATTTGAATAAATGTATATACGAATGGCCAATAAACACATGGAAAGATGCTCAACATCCTTAGCCATTAGGAAAATGTGAATCAAACCCTCAATGAGATACCACTTCAAAACTACTAGATGGCTATAATCAAAAGGACAGACAATAACAAGTGATGTCAAGAATGTGGACAAATTGGAACCCTCATACATTGCTGGTGGGAATGTAAAATGGTGCAGCTGTTTTGGAAAACAGTCTGACAATTCCTCAAAAAAGTAAACATAGAGTTACCATATGTCCCAGCAGTTCCACTCCTAGGTATGTACCCAGGGGAACTGAAAACATATGTCTACACAAAAATTTATAGAGGACTGTTCATAGCAGCATTAGTCATAATAGCCAAAAAGTCAGAAAAACCTAAATGTCCATCAATTGAATGGATAAGCAAAATGGTATAGACATACAATGGAATATTATACAGCCATAAAAAGGAATGAAGTACTTCTACATGCTATAATATAGATGAACTTTAAAAGTCTTATACTAAGTCAAAGAAGCCAGGCATGAAAGGCCACGTGTTGTATGATCCCATTTATATTAAATATCCAGAATAGGCAAATCCACAGAGACAGAAAGCAAATTAGTATTTTTCAGGGGCAGGTGGGAGGGAAAAATAGAGAATGATGGCTGAAGGGTATAGAGTTTCTTTTGGGGGTGATGAAAATGCAATTAGTGATAATTACAGAACTTTGTGAATATTAAAAGGGTGAATTTTATGGTAGGTAAATTTTATCTCAATAAAAAAATA